TATAATTATAGCGTTCGGTAGCGATAATATTTATTGAGCACTTTCATTGTTTAAGAATTCTGAATCAGGCTTGACGCATAAGTTAACTATGGAGCAATCATTTAGTATTGATACCTCAGCTGTTTTCATTTTGTTGATTTGACAGGCGGAACAAACTTTTGCAGGTGTAGGTGAATACTGCATTACTTTTTAATAAAGCTCAGTATGTCATAAGACGCTTGAACATCATAAATGTTCTGTTTTCGCTATGTGTGTGCGATGAACACGAGTCGACTCTTCTCCAATACTCTATATTTTTCCTCATCTGCTTCTGCCACTAAGTAAGTAATTAGGCCATCAGATCGTTTAGCTTGTTCATAGGCGACCGAGTGGAGTTTGGTAGTCCAGTTGACCCGGTTTGTAACTCTTGACCTCCATTCACATGGCCGATCCCTCTTTTCTTGACTTGGTAGAAGGTACTAATCACATCTTTTAATGCATTGTCGACTTTGTGTGTACGGAACATGATCCTAGGAGGACACCTCAGTACTCTTCACTCCATCACATCGATATATGTACCTATATGTTATATCGATGAATACGTAACAATTAAATATCGTTTATCAGTAATATACGGGGATTCTGCTAGGTGAATGCGGCGTCGTGGAAAGCGTGAAAGCAGCAAGCGACGTCTACAGTCCTGCATCGGGCACCGTTACTTTAATCAATAGCCGTTTGTCAGAGTCACCGTCGTTGGTCAACAAGTCGTGCTACGATGAAGGTACGTCGAACAAAAAGTTTTTTACTTACTTGTCTTATGTGTGAAGTAGAGATCAGCAAAGTTCGCCGCTCCAACGAGATCACTGAATAATTCAAAGAAGCTTTTTCAACGTATATGACATAAAAAGCTTAATGTGCGCAAATTAATTAATAAATTAACAATCCGCTGTTAAATTAAAGCATGCAAGTGAAACTGTAGCAGATTGGAAAACACCCCCGCTGTTTCCCGTTTTTAGTTTAACTATTCTAGGATGTCGGTAGTCATGTATTATGATTGTGTACTGTTGTTTTTCACTTGATGATCTGTCATTTCTATAGGGAGAATTACCTTTTCGACGCAGTGCACGATGTGCTGCGACCATGCAGTTTCCTACAACAGACCTTTACAAAATTAAAACCAGTATATGACGCCGGGATAACCAGTATATAAAGAGGTGGGTGTGCCCGAGCTCACTGGACTGCTCTAAGCTGGCGATCTCATCTGGGGCCTGATTGGGTGTGGGTGTTTGGCAAACGGGGCTTCTGCTGATGACGCCCATTTGGAAGATCTAGGCTCAGATGGGACGATGAGCTAAAAAGGATATATCGAAGCTTGTGGCGAAAAATCACACAAGGCAGACGAACGTAGGCATCCAAACTACGGCGATGATAATTCCCGTTAATCACGAAGAACGATCAGTTAAGATAAAAGTAGCCGTAGTCGACCTACCGGATAAAAGTAATACTACGACACTGAATAAAAGAACAGAACTTGAACGCAGTAATTACTCAATATGCAGAAACCGCGTTTCTTGATCAGTTGTTTGGTCCATATTTTGTAATGCGCTTGTATTAACTCTGTGTTTATGCAACAAAAATTAATAGGCGCATTTCGGCTGATGAATCTTCATTCTTTCTTCATACCCAGGTTGATTTCTAGCATTTGACTGTATCTACATTTTCCGTTAAAGAAAAGTTCTTAACTAGTTGATCATTCATAAAGTCATAATTCCTTTGTTTTCGCAGTGTGTAGTTATTCGTATTCTTTAAGCGATCGTGTAAAATTGCAGTGTCTCTTGTTAAGATACCAAAGAGCTTTTCATGGAGTTCTGATCGATTCTGAACACTATGAACAGTGAAGTCTGCGTACTAGCACCGAAGCAAGAAAAGGCTTTTTTTGTGAGTAATAGAAGAATAAAAGTAGACGAATAAATGATAAAGGGCACAAAAAATAATCTGTCGTAACCCGAATGAGTAAGTTAAAATGGCAATGGACAAGAGACGTTTCTATAAGGATCGAAAATTTCTGGACTAGAGAAATGTTTGGCTGGATTTAGACAGAGACAGACAGAGAGAGAGAGAAGAAACATTTAACTTCCAAACCGATAGCTGACTGAACTGACAAAGAAACAAAGTTTGTGGCAAAGTGAAGCGAAAAATGCTGATAATGAGGAAAAACAGCGAAATATGATGATCTTTCTGGCGCGTTCTTTTAGCAGGGTCCAGAATCCAAGTCAGTTTTCCGTTTATTTTTGGCTCCATTACCAAATTTTTGGACACCCCTAATTTATATACTGTTTCAGCAAAATTGTGCCATTTTTCTCTACTGCTTTACGCAATCAAACACTAATATTGTATATATGAATTTATTGTTATATATTCTAGTACTTTATGCTAAAATAATTCCGTGCATTTGTAGGATGGCTGTTTAAGCTGAAATTGAAGGATCCGGCTGAACTTTCTAAACTTATGGATGAGGCAAAATACCAGGAATACTTGAAAACCGTAGAACATTAAATAAACGCTTCTAGCAGATTTTTATGTGATGTGTTGTTGATTTGTTCCATTCATTTGTTGACTTTGCACTGGCTTTTAATATATTGTTTTTCAAAAGTGCTGGTACTGTAATTGTATATTTTGTTTTTGATCCGTTTGCACACGGTCGTCAGAACTGCTTTAGACTTTACATACGTTATTCATATTAATTTTTTATTGTTTGTCATTACCGCCGAAGGCTAACCGACCCTAGTTTGCAAATTAATTTAAGTTTATGCATTGTTTGACCATTGGAAATGGTACTTCTGGTTAATATTATTTAACGTTCATTGCAGCGTTGAAAGTGATTTTCCTCTTCGTGAGCAGGTCGCCTGAACGAGCTGTTTTCAGGTTTTGAAATGTCCTGCAGTGCACCTTCGGCACGTAAACAGCTTCCATATGAGTAAGGTTTTGAACATTAGTATATGTGTATATTCTTTTCTGGGCATTTTTTTGAATCCCAGCGCAGGGTGAAAAACTATGAGTTACTGTGTTTTTCTCAGACCACAGCAGATACTCGTATAACTTAATTAATTGGGTTTTAAAAAATGCTAAACTTATGCACTGGATTCACTTTCAGTCTTTTGCAAGATATCTGGCTGTTGATCTGCATATTTCTGTCAGCAAACTGCTAGGGTCAAGGTGATGCAGATAGTTCAAGTAACTAGATAAACAGCTCATTGCCAGTTGATAGACTTCGTTACCAGGTTTGTTAGATATAGACGCATTTTTGCACAATCTGAATAACCAATATCATTTGTGTTCTTGCCCTTTGACGAAAAAGAACCTAAATTTGCATTTTCTGAAAGCCAACGATAATTCCTGTCACACCAGCCTTCGATCCACTGTTCATACAGTTACTTGTTCGTTCCCTCGTCGATGAGCACTGTAGCGGTCCCCTCAGATTTTGGAGCTAATGTCTTGACAAATTTACTGACTCCCGCCGTTGTTTCTTTAGTCAGCAGTTTTATGAACTAACGTAGCACCTAGTATGCTGTTGTGCGGCGCTGAAATTGGAACACGGTGTATCTGACTTGATATAGTATTAGTATCGCGTTTTCAGATATTGCACGAGACGTTACTTCTTCTATTTTGAGTAGTAATAGTTTTCATTTTAAATTATTCTGTTTATTGAGTTTCACTTTTGAGCTGAGCTAGTTACTTGAGCGTCTAAGAGAATGAAAATGGTTCTCATCGGCTGCAGAAAGGTGTTCGACTAAATCAACCTCAGCATGAGGTAAGGAGAGCAGTGCAGGGCGTCGATGCGCGTACAACACTGAAGGAAACGAACTATGGATTTGCGAAGAACGTCCTGCTGCTCGAGCTACTTCTCCAGATCCCGGTCCAGAAAGGAATGAAGCAGGGAGACAGTTTCTTTAAAGTTTTTCATGTCTTATATGGAAATGATTATCAGGCAGATAGAATGAAGATCAACGAAGAGGGGCTCGGTCATGTAAAACCGCTGATTGCGGAAAATAACGCTAACTCAAAAAAATGGTGAAAGAACTCGATAAAGAAATTTTCGAATTCAGTTTAAAAGCAGGTGATCAAAAGCTAAATACATTATGATGCGCTACGTCGCGGAAGTTCCAGATAACGGTTAATGGTCAGTATAGATTAAGTAGAAGGCTACATATATTTTGTTCAAGTAAACAAAATACGATGCGATCAGACTGCCGAAATCTGACAGATCGAAAGCAGATTGCGATAAGGTGTTTAGTATTGTCAAGGATGTCCAATTTGAGAGGAACGATAGGCCAAAGCAGCCCCACTTCTTCAACACAGTTGAATTACCGGCGATGATATATGGCTGCAGAACGGTCTTTGGTTAACGAAGAGGGATGTCATTTATCTGTTACTGAAAAAATGGTTGAAGGATGTTGAGATTTCCCTCCAGGACAATGCCCTCGATGCAGTTATCAGCAAACCAGAGTGTTATATGCTATCTTGGAAAGCAGTAATGGGAAAATGACAGCTGCTACCAAGTGGTACCCTCGGGATTGCGGCCTCCAGAAAAGATCGGACAATTTAGCATCTGACTTACAGAACCACTGTGGCAAGGACAAACAAGTGAAAAATGGAGGAAGTGTTATGACCGACGTATTCTGTGAATGTCGAATATTGGTCAATAAAAAAAGTTAAAGAATTGAAATTCTAATGGTTCTGTTCAAACTAGTACAATTAGGGATGTCGATTCGTTTCTTGTTGGAATAACAGTTGTTGGCCTCTGCTTTCAGACCCGTGGTTCAAGGCAACATTAGAGAAGAGCCATATAATACCCTTTATTTAGCGACACGTTTTAATGCCGCAAACCAATGCCTTTGGCAAAATGATATTATGTGGTGACCCTCTAGTATTACCTTAATGATAACGCTGGTGTGCGGTATCGAAAGGCATCGGTAAATAAATTATTCTACGTTTGTTTTTTTCAGAAAAATGAAACCCGATTTTATGGGTTTGCTAGCACACCGCTAGTTATTGATACCGCCGCAAACATATATAATCCATTTCAGTTTTTGATACCAGGTTGAAGTGACTAGAAGCAAAGGGACGCTGCTTACGCCGCTTCAGTCCGGTGTCGAAAACTGAAATACATTGTCCTTTTCAGTTGTTGCCCTTCGTCATGGATCAGTAATCGAGAACCACTAATGTTTTTATGGTTTTATTCCCGTATTTATTCTTTAAGAATTTTTATTCTGCAAATAAATTCAGCAACGACTTTGAGAGTACTGTTTGCCACATAGTATAAATTGCATTTCAAGGTCAAAACGATTAGGCAGACAGCTGGTGCATTGGAAATGAAGTCGTACGACGGAGTGTCTACCTCGTAGCCATCGTTCCGAACCAAGATAAGCTTAAAGGAGAGGATCGCGCTGACCTCTTAGATCTTTAAAATCCTCTGGAATATTTATGTTACGAAGGTAATGTCACTCACCATCTTGTATATGCTTCTTTGCTTCGCTGTAGTGAGGTTAGTTCGGTTCTCCATGCTAGAAATGGCTAGACTCATGGAAACGTGCGAACGCTGAATGAAGGGTCTTCAGCAACGCTGGAGGAGGATATATTGACAGATCATGTCAGGTGACCTTGCAAGCATATCAAAAGAAGGTACCGGTCTGGTGTTTATCTGGAGCCAACGATTCTTCACTGGTTCGTCAGTTGCTACTGTAGGAACTTCTACTAGTGAACATGGTTTTTGAAGTTTATGTTCTAGCTTGAGCATGATTATGCAGATACACGTGAATGTCTAGATAATAGCAGAAAGTACTGATCAGAAGCGATTCGTATGTAAATCATCAAAAGTATCGACTTTCGGACGACCACCTAGAGTTTCTAGAATTATAGACATGCGGAGGTCGAAACTCATTAATATGCTACGTTCAGCAAATCGCGATCATTCATGTGCCACTATCCTTTTCGTGATGAAACACCAAACTAAGTTCTTACCTTTCAACACGCAGATGTTGAAAGGGACCTCGCTGGTAGATCGAGATTGTTACGTGTGAAGACATGGAGATGTTTCGCTTGGATTTATAAACCATGGCTATTCACCTGAATCAAGTTTTTTCGTGGCAACAGTCCGGAGTGAGCCAATGTGTATGGTCAACAAGGGTATTTTGAAGTGACCGACTGACCGACCTTGGTCCTGTGAGGATTGTTACCGGTAACTGTTTGTTATGCCACACTGCAACAGAGTTTCGTCCAGGTCCTGAGGACCAGAACATAACAGAGCAGACCGCTTGATCGACGACTATGACTTGTTTAATTCGAAGCTTAGGCGACCGCCCCGACATGCATTTCGACGATTTCTTTTCTACCTCTACCTTTCGGTGCCGTTATTTACCCGAAGTTCAGCATAGATAAACTTTTATTTGTTTTCGTGCCTCAGATAGAGCCTGGAATGAGGTGACGTTTGCCGACCGGTGACGGTGACCACCACGGAAATCACATCACCGAAAATACGAACTGGTGTGCCTATGAACTTGTGTATGACAGATGCGGGAAACAAACTTTTTTACAAGGTCTTTTAGTGGTTGAACTGATAAGTTGTTATTTGTTTCTTGCTCACTTTTTTCTCCGTGTGGGTAGAGGCAAAAGTAAGTTAGAGAGATGAGTCACTGCAAAGGAATGAGCTCCATGAGTTATACGGTATACAGTTTGTCGATTAGATGGAAGTTCGTCGGTCGCCGGCGTTGGCGCCGACGATGATATCGCTGTCTGTACAACTAACCGTATCGAACAAGTCACTGGCGCCACCACCGTCAAGATATTGTTGGAATTTGCCCAATAAAAAGCTTCTCGACTACTATCGATAAGGGATGTGTCGGAACGAAACAGAAGTTCATTAAAAGCGAGAAAACGTATCGCACGATTCTGGGAGTTCACAGGTCTTTGGAAGGGTCGACGGCGTGGGCGCAGGATGAGGCAGCGGTGAGGGAAACGACCATCAAGGAGAGGAACGAGATAAGCGAGAGGGATGACTAATCACTTGCCCTTTAAAAGTTGCTTTTCGATGAAGTACAAGGTCGTCGTAGCTGACCTTGAAACTTTGCGAGAAAGTACTCTCCATGGAGCAAATCGTTTCCCTTATTTCTTGACTTACTTATTTTAATTATTTTTTCTCTTTTCGTCATTCCATTGCGTCGAAAACGGCGCCGTGTAATATACAGGCATTTCACCTGGATCGAATAAACACGCGTGCTCACTCTTCAGTCTTTTCGATATCAGTTCTGAACCGATGTTCCCAATGTTTTTGATAGTCTTCCCGTGTACTGTCTAATTTTTAACAAATTCACCAATTAGACATCAATCAGAATGAGGGGAAATGATTCTCAGAGAAACCTGGCTTAAGAAAGCCGTCCAAGAAGAATACCTGAGATGAGAGAGCACTTGACGTTGCCACTCATTGGAAACTATCCAATAAAGCAA